GATGACTGTTGGTAACGTCTGTTTTTTGGATAACATCGACATTCATTCATTCCTTTGGGAGATCTCAGATGAAGACACATCGTTCTTGTATTATCTCTCACAATTAATTAATTAATACATCGCCCCAATCGTTTAATCAATTTGTGTGTGTTGTGACTCATTTCGCTGAACATAACAATACGTACAAACACATACCACGTGAGTGCCATTTGCTCCCGCTACTACACATTGTTTAGGTCTCAGCTCGGCAAACTTATTGAAACCGACCTTAGCATCTTCATTCGCATGTTTGTACTTCCGATGAAGGACTTTTAGATTTTCGAGTATCATTCGCTTTTGCTCTACTTTCTTCTCTCCATTGATCTTGATGGATATTTTATCTTTCATGCCTGGCATGACGCGACTGTGCTCTAGTTAAAAATTGTGTACCTTCTCGACGGTTGTGCTGGGTAGTGAACGACCTGCTTTCGCAATTGGTGAAGCAAACACTCCTTTAATTTTTCTCTTTAATCCTTTAATCTTTTCGCTCTTGACGCCATGTATCTGGTAGTTCCAAATTCAGAAGCAATTTTCCGCTCACTCCACGACTGTGGATGAACCGTCAAGATTTGCAGGCACTCACGGTAATTTTTCAGATCTTTGAATTACTGCTTCAAACCATCCAACATTTCTTCTAATTCTATTTCTCTCGTAGATCGATACTGCTTAGATGAAGATGAATCAATGTCACTTTGGTCATCTTCCGAATCATAATCCATGGAAAAACTGTCGAATTCAGCTTCATCGTCTGGTTCGTCGTCGATTGATATGCCGGAATCATCAATATGGAAAGATCGACCTGATCTCAGAGAACTGTTCATCACATCCAGTNACATGGAATGTCCCATATGAGTGTTTTATGTTGAGCTTTTGAAATTTGTGCACCAACCAAACGAGATAAATTCGAGATCCATGTGTAGTGATAAATTCTTTCCTGGTCATCATTGAGGTTGTTTTTTTTTCAATCATGAGAAGGTGAATCATCCTACCTTCCTCTTGCGGGGTGGTTGGAGGATTTTTGCTCAAATAGAGTGGCACAGTCCATTTCTTCCCTGATTCTTCATCATTATCAATTCCATATACATTAATCGACAATTCGTTCATTTTCTCGAACTTAGGAATGTCTTTTAATGCCATGGGGTATTTGAAATTACCAAAGCTTTTCATGACAGTGCTGAAAGAGGGATATGAGTTTGTTCGTTGCTTATCTCGAGCGTTGCAACGAACGGCCATGATAGACCATAAAAAGCAATAGGTATCGTCTTTATTCTGAACGTTCATAACTGCATGTTCCTTTTTAATCCATTCAGGTAGTTCAACCAAGCTACATCCTCCCCGCAATGCATTATATTTATTCATGTTCGTTCCACCCGGAGTCTTTTTCCTGGAACTCATCTGCTTTCACAAGAAGTTTTTCTCTAATGTGTTCTTCGAACCACTGTTCAATATCAATTGAATCAAGAATTATTTCATTTTTTGTGTTAAAATATTTCTCTTCTTCAATGAGACGTTGATCTTTACTAACTTCATACTTACATGTCAATACTACATTCACTTTCAAACTTCCTTCCCGTTTCAATGCATTTTTCAAACATATACAGAGCATTCGTCTAGCATCACCTAAAAATTTGCGTATGTCTGGATTTTTCACGTTAACGATTACACCGGTTCACATACGACCCTCAAAAACACTTTGTAAGTCCTCCCATCGGACTCTATCAGTTAAATTACCCCTTAACTCTCCTCCTATCACTTCCAAGTTTCTGAATCTTGCATAGAACGCTTTCAGTCGTCCTAACATGTGAACGTCTTTTCTCACTATGACTCGCACTCCTCTTCATTAATGCATTAATTTCTTTCGAATGTCCTCTGATGTGATTAAGGCATTGTTGAATTTCCCTGGGTCTCCTATTCGTTTCCACTATTTCATACACATCCTCCAATGAACTCAATAATCTTTTACACGCGCTAGGATCCATGTTGTTCACGATAAAGGCACTAAAGGACTAGCGGAAAACCAAGGTGAAATTTGTTTATATAAATGCACATGTGGGTGTGCCTACGCTCGAACCCTCTGGAAAATGTCACGTGATTGCTTGAAAAAGAATCATGTGACTCATGGAAAATTATTAACAAAACAGCAACATTTTTTGTTCGTAGGAAAAAAAAATATCTGAAAAATGTTCTGGATAACATTTCATCTTTGCGGTGCGATAAGACATCGAAGGGTCCGAACACTCTGCTCCAGTTTGTCAAACATCATGTTCTTAGGGTTGTGAGTACCCATGCGTTCCCAGGTGGATAGCGATAGCCACGAAAGTCTAAGTAAACAAAAGGTTGCGCTCGAATATCTTCCCACGGTTTTCCATCGTTATCAGTCTCGCACCAGATTATTTTATAAAGAAAAAAATCATTAATAAAAAAATAAAAAATGAAATTATGGCTTAATTTATTTGTAATTTAAGTTCCAGTGTCATCTCCCTTCTCATCTGTGTGGAATTTAATGTCATTGTATTCACCACCCAAGTGCTCCAACTTTGGTGAGCCTCTCTTAATTTCATTCAGCAAGTCTTCGAATTGTTGGGGATTTTCAAGGAGAAGGAGAAGTCCGAATTATTGGGGATTTCAAGGAGAAATATTAGTTTTTCCATAAAGTGGTAAACATTAAAATCCAGGAAATCTTAATATTATATTAAATATATATTAAAAATATATTTCTATTGGGTTTTTTTACAGAATATTTTCTATTGAACATTTCAATAGAAACGGCCGGAAGCTAGTAGAAAGTTCAATAGAAATCGAATAGAATTGTCTAGCGAATTCGCTAGGATTTTCTATTGAATTTTTTCATACGTGAAGATTAATGGTAACAATACGTCTCGGTTAATCCACTGCTTAACCCTCTATTGTGAAAGTCTGCCTGAATAGTACTTTTTTTGGGAATTCTTGTGCAATTGTTGTGAAAATCCGAGGTATTTCTCAAATTCTTTCTCCTTTCTCATTTCAATCAGGGTGCAGTAGTCAGAGTCACGTGACTCCTCCAAGTCAGTTTTGTTCGGGAAATTCCGCTTTTTCTTTTCAATTGCCTCCTCATTGTTTATTCAAAAATTCTAGAATACGTGAGAATTTTCTAAAAATTTTCTAGAAAATCTCATAATTGTTAATAAAATAAAACAATTATAAATACAATTTATAATTTGTATTCATAATAAACTATGAATTACATTGAGTAGATAAAAATGATATGCAATATGACCACTCGGAAACATATTGCTACTTTATTAGCAAAAATAACTACCATGTACAATATATGAGCAATTTCCCACTTGTTTTCAGTTTAAATCGAAAGGGATAAGAGTTTAAATTGATTCATTTCAAAATTGATTTTTCATCCACCTCGTCATTTTCCAGTCTTGAACATCTTTTTTGTACTATTTTCATGTTCGACTACTCAGAATAATAATTTTGATATGGTATGAAAAAATTGAAAAAAAGAGCAAACTGAAAAAAATTAATTTTTCGATGTAACTTAACGAACATTTTGAAAAAAAAAAAAATTTGAATCGGATGAAAATCGCGGTGCGAGGAACATTTCAAAGCTAAATCACAAAAAACGACCCTTTTGCCTGACGTACGAAATAAAATGAGTCGAGTATGAAATTTTTCTTGTTTTTACGTACCTCATGATATAACAAAAGTCGCTCGGTAGTTATTTTCATCGCCCGAAGACTTTCAAATTTGATAGGGGTCCTTAAGAAACTTGAGGTTATGGATGTATAATTTGATCCATTTGCTTCTCTGTTCGTTCATTATTCTCACATTTTTGGTAATAATGAGTGCCTTGCATCAGACTTCAATGAAAACTGAAAATAATTTAAAGATCGCGCTCAAATTTGGTGCGCGCGGAGTGATACATCTCATGCCGGGGTGGGCAATGATGGGGGATCTTCGGCTAAAACCCGATGTTCCTTCTTTCCTGGCGATGACTATAGTTGGCAAAAAGATCTTTTCTTGCGCGCCGCAAGGAAAAGACGGAGTTCACTCATCTTATGGACTCCCACGGGATAATACTGGCGGGACACCAGATTTCATTCGGATCTATTTTTCTCCGTGTATATGTGAATCCGATTTGTCATGAATTTTTATGGAGAAAATTGATCTAAACTTCTGAGAATAAAGGATTTGATTTGCAATGTCTAGTCTATTATGTTCGACCCTTAATTGGCGCATACTGTTTCATGCATTTCATTTCTTCGAAGTTTTCTGAACCTTAATTTTATGTAAATCGAAATTTATATGGGAGTCTCATTTTTCTGTGGAGTTTCGTCAAACCCTACGTTCCCTTTTGTCCCGTGAAAATGCGAAAATTCGTCGTTTTTATTTTTTTTAATGTCTCAGGTGGAATTTTGAAACTTTTTTTTCTCAAAATGAAGGGAATTGAGGCCAGAATCACGTCAATTTTTGTCAAAGTGGTAGAAAAAATATACCTACCAAAATGATTGTTGAAAAGAATGAAGTGCCAATTGAAAATATAATTTAAGAATAAAAAATGAAACAAACAAATTTTTCTTGAAATATAAGATGTTTTTGATTTTTTAGAATTTTTTCAGATTTTTAGTCAACTTTTAAGTACGCAAAAAATAATAATATTGAAAAAACCTGTTTTTCAACCATTCAAATTCAGAAAACCAATATAGTGATCTTAAATTTTGCAGAGAATAATTATTGTTAGATGATGAATATGTGAAAAAATTACCGCATTGAAATTCGCTGGGGGCTGATTCGCCATGCTTATCCGGCTAGACTCTAACAAAGGAGTACGCTTTAGATTTTATAATTCTAATCTTCCCCCAAAATATGGAATTGCCTTGTTTGAAATCTCCACGATCAGAATGTTTACAATACTCGTAATTATTCGTCCTTTCAATTAAAAAATATAGCGAAAAAAAAGCTGTAGTTACCTAGTAGCTTCCAGATGAAAATAGAACCTGGATATGACTGTGAGTGTGGCCATACGAATCTCCTGACAGACGCTTCCGCAGGCAGCGAATAGCAGAGCTAGTGCACCCGATCGAGTCACATTATGACATGCAATAACATTATTACCCGCTAACAAGTGCGTTAATAATGGTAAATAGAATGCTGGATCATACACACTTTCACTATCATATAATTCATCCTGGTGTAGTGTCCTTCGTACTGGGAAATTTGTAATCGTATTCTTAACGATATCGATGTTGAAAAGCTGCAGGACTTGCGAGACTGAAGGTTGTCGCCAAATTACAGTGTCTGCCCTCCCCCTTAGACTGTAATAAGAGGCTGCAGCTTCTCCATACAAATACGGTTGATATTCCGTTAATTTGATTCCCGACCTCTCATAGTATTGAAGAATCAACAAAATTTGTTGATCAAACTCATTCAATGTGGCGTTATAAGCTGATAAGTACAGGGGAATATGTGATAACTTCATTATCGTTGGATTTTTCTTTATAAGAACGAAGATGAGTTGGAGTAAATCCTTTTTGATGTTCTGAGAACTAAGCATGAGGTTTACGAACTCTGAATGGGATGTTGTCATCTCGAATAACGTTTTCACGTATTCGGTTTCACTTTTGTCTTTGTATGCAATGTCACAGACTTGTGATAAAGTCTTCAGCAGCGAGTGATTTTTTGTTGAATCGTTTTTCGAATTCTTTAGTCCTGATCTTAAAGAGAACCTTGTGAACTGGGACCACGAGTAACTTTTGGATAGGTCTTCGAAGATGAAGTCTTTATTGATCGATTTGAGTCTCGTGATTGTTTGGAACATGTATATGCAGAGAATTTCGATTTCATTTGAGTCTTTTGCATTTTTCTTTAAATATGAGACGATTAAACGGATGAACACTTGAAGACCTTGACAGAGGATTTCTTGAGGATTTCGATGCAATTGTGAGAGTCTTGTGAAAATATGTTGAAGAAGTTTCGCGTAGTTAAAGTCGACAGTTTCCAATTTGTCTCCACTGGACAACACTTTCGTGGTGATTCTCTCACATATTTCGAGGCTGAAGCAAGAGTCTATTAAATATGCGACTGAATCTACATTTTGATTGATCCAGTCTAGAGTTTCCTCATAAAATAAAAAGTAGTTGATAATATTCTGTTCATATTGCTTGCAAATTTTGAACAGAAATTCCGAGTTCCATTTGTAAGATAAATTGCTTGATAAAACACTGAAAATCAGTTCACAACATCGAATTCGAGATTTTTCGGTTGAAATGTATTTAGTGAATAGTGGAATCAATTTTGGATTTCTCGCCGTGAGGAAAGATATCAGTGGAATTGTTGATTCATCAAATTCATTTTCCAGTAAGGAATTGAAGGTTTTTGGGTCAACTATTGCAATATAATGAGGGAAAGCCTTAAGAAATTTATGTAGAGAATTTTCCCAACTCTCTAGATTTATCCCTGTGTATTTCAGATGTGTAAAGTAAATAAATAACTTGTGGACCAATTGAGTTTCTTCCGGAAATTCCATGAGAATTTCCAATTTTTGTCGTTCCGATAATAACTCAAGCAATTTCGGAACCATTTCTCCCCAAATCGATAAGACCTTTTTGTCTTCACTTAAGAAACTTGCTTTTGGTAAACTTGTCAGGCTCTTGAAAAGTGTTAGGAGATCAAAGGATGTTAATTGAAGAATTTCAATGAATTTCACTAGACAGTGCGTGGTTTTTAGTGTCCAACCACCTGCACATTTCCTCAAAACTGCTTCCAAATGTGACATTAATTTATTCTTGAACGAGAGGAATAAATCGGGAACGTTCGATTTATAATTAACGTCAATGATTTTGTCAAAAATTTCGACGAGACCAGTAGTCACAATTCTCTCTGTCGGAAACTTTGTTTTTGGAATTGGATTAAAAGAATGAAGAATTGTTGGATGCGTTAAGATATGTCTGGAACATTCAAGCACATAATTTGAATCACAAGAAGTCCAATCAGTTTTTTTATAAAAATCCAAAAGTGCAATTATCACGTATTTATATCGATTGAACTGCTCCTGAGTTAGTTTTCTCCTTTGAATACACTGAGTCAGATAGAAGACAGTCATTTTAAGAAGATGCAGAATTTCATAATTCGAATGTAAGCCATCTTTATCATTTAGTATTCTGTCAAATGTAATTTCGTCACTGGCAAGTAAAATTTTGCTAAATTTTCCAACAATGCTTGTCGATAACATCTTCTTTAGTGGTATTGGAGTTTCCCCCTCTTTCCAACTTTTCAAATACTCAACTTGTTCCCCTTGAATACCCTCACTGAGATAAATCAAAGCATTCGGTGATACTTGACAGTGCAATGTTAATATTGTAATGAAACCGACAAATCTTCCTGCTGTTTCGTTCCATTTTTCTTTCAAACTTTCGTAACATGCACATAAAATTAATGGAATATTCGTTGTTGGTTGCATCAGTTTATTCATGTCATCTTCACTTGTTAAAAATTCTTCAGCCTTTTCTACTTCCTCTATAATCTTCTGATACTTCGCAGGGCGCTTAACTGCTTTCGAGATGATTTTCACTAGCCACTGAGCGACTTCAGCTCTCTCTCGGGAATTCTTGAGCAATTTTAAACTATTCAGCCAGATATTCATTTGATCCTCACAGTTCTTGAATATATTTAACTCATTCAACAACACTTTCGTCGTCTCTATTCCCTTAGACTTCAAATTTCCAGAAGGATTCTCCAGTAGTGAAATCAAAAATAAAAGAATGTTTCCAAGGAATTCTTCGTCGGTTTTAAAAATCTTGGGATTGAAAACTTGAATTATTTGAATTGCTTTTAACTTCATGGAGTTCAATTCCTCTTCATTAACGTCTCTAAGGTCGTTTATTGATGTCAGTAATAATTGAGAATCCTCTGTCAAATCACTAAGACTTTTCGAACGCATACATTCAGGGAGAACCTGATGATAATTCTGAATTAAATCTAAAACTGATGAAAAATATTTAGATTTCGGTGGTGTGAATTGAATCTCTTCTAGATTTACGGCTTCGAGGCTTTCGCTGGGTTTATCGGCATGTTTCCAAGCTCTTAAAACATCTTCCACTGAGGGTATCTTCTTCGAGGCATAATCTATTACATGAGAATGTAAATTTGAATATTCAGAAACACTTACGTGTCTTTCAGCAACTTCCAAGAATTTTCTCACTTGGTTCAGCATAACTGTGAGAGTTGTCACAGCTTCGTAGCATAAAATAATACTCGAAGAGTTGAGGGAAGGTATAACAGCATTTTTCAATACAATCAAAGGCATAGTTAATGTTAATGTTGCAGTGATTAACTGTTGAGACGTTAATTCTGAGAGAGAATACTTGAGAAACTTTTCAAGTGCAACAGCTGAAAGAACTCTCTTGACGAAGTCCATGACGGCAATCCACTTTTTCGACGGTCTGGGCACCAAGAAAGGTTCAATGTACGCCAATTGAGGCTTTATAAGATCAGGACAAGCAACCAAAATTTTAGAAACCAAATCACCAGGTTTTTCATGTTCCCAGGGATGTTCTAAGCTCTGGAGAATGGTACTTACCAGCTGATTATGTTTCTTTCTAGTTGTCCCTAGAGTCTTATCATTGAAAATGATTCCATGGCGATTTGATGTCAGAAGCACTATTAAAAAATCGTGGACTGCTTCAATGGTAATAGCCTTCTCTTCGAGATCGACACATTCAGTGAAACCGTTTCGTTTGTTATTCTCAAATCCAGGCCAGTTACTGGGGCCTTTCCAATTGTACAAAGACACCAAATTGTGAACAACGGGTGTTGAGAACACCTGGAGTTTTAATGTTTTACTAACAATATTGTTTTCAAGTACGTAAGTTTTGATTGTATTTAACACGAGGAGCACAGTGGAATGAGAGTCATAAATAAGCTCCGGGAAAATACTCGTGAGTAATCCACGTTTATCCAAAAGTGCTCTGATGACCGAGGCCCTCGCATTCACTAAAAATGAGAGAATAAAATGAATGAAACATGTTCTGACACTCTGGGGATCTGTTGGCTTCGTTTGTTTGGACATTAGAGTTAATGTCTCTTGGTGAAATGAAAGGTGAGCTAGTAATTCTCGGGGTAGCGTGTCTCCCAAGGACACGATTGACGCAAGCAAACGTAGAACGATCTTTCGTTGCTTAGGATTACTTTGATTGGACATCATCGCGTGAACTGTTGATAAGTGTACGTTTATCAAATGGTGGCAAGCCTCCTGAGCTGCCGCAATTTGCTGGGGATACTTCTCCAAGATCTTCATAATGACAATGTGCATGCCAGAGAACACTAATGCTGCCTTATTCAAATCTTTGTCACATTCTTCTAACAACTGAAGAATTTCGAAAACATGTCCTGATTTTTCTATATATTCTGATGCTAAATCACGTTCGGTATTCTCAGTGCATATTGTCACGAATTTCCGCAGCATGCCTAGACCCGAAGCTGTCTTCAAACTAGACCTCAAATAGTTTGCTGAAATTCCCATCACTCTTTTGGAAGAGAGATTTGATGCGAGAGTTTCCTGTTCTTCACTCAATTTTCCATCGTTCTCAGAGTGTTTTCTGATTGGCTCTGGTTCATTTGGTGAATTATTATCCGTTGGGGGTATTGCAGCTCCACTCATCTCGTTGACCTTCTTCTTCTTTTTCTTTTCTACTGTTAAAGTTGCCGGAAAAATACTTTCATTAGGAACCCTCGAAGTATCGCCGTTAGATTTGCTTTTCATCTTTTTTTTCTTTCTTTTGATGGGAGTTTCCAGATTGTCAAGAGTATTGTTGATAACTTCTGAATTTGTTTCTCCGTTTTTTCTTTTCAGTTTCTCCTTTCCATATTCAAAATTTCCATTATTAAGATAATTATCCATTTCTGATTCCAAGAGGGACGATTTGTGTGCAGTTTTTGGATTCATTTTAATTCGCATGATTTATTCGTTTGTAACTTCGTTCGCCTCAACTGCAACGGAAGTACAAAAGTATTCTTTTATATCACAGAAAAGAACAGATGACGCTGAATTATTATTCTCGATGGAAGTTTTATTTATTTTAAAGAAATTTTTGCATATCTCTCTTACCTTTCAAATCGTTGATGAATAATATAAAAGTTTTAATTCTTGCTTAACCTAGAAATTGAAAACCGACAAACGTGTCTAAATTGATTTTTACTCCAAATGCGTGTGGTTTATTTGAGGAGGTTTCGTTGGAGATTATAGGGGAGATGAGCAGGGCCAATGTAAAGTGTTCAACAGTAAAAATCGTAGCGGTGGCGCATGGACTACGATGGAGCGTACGGAACTGTTGGTATGGTAGGGCCCGAGCATAAATTTGTCGATCACCGGAAAGGGGTTCTCAATACGGTAGCTCCTCCCATTTTGTAATAATTGTCAGGAATGTAAAATCGAACATATTATAATCAATAGTATAATGAATGCACAATCTAATGATCTAAAAGTGTTTTCCTCTTTCTCGACATATTTATTATTGACACGTAGATCAAAAAATTCATAGAAAATCCCAGCGGTGTCGCTGGAAAACTCTATACTTTTCCAGTGATTCGATTGAATAATTGTGCAGACTTTGTTTTTTCTTACTATAGTAATGTTCGATTATATATATTTATTCCCCCCCTGAGTGAGAAAGGAATATGTATCGCGCTCGCTCCCACTCATTATCGTCTCCGTCGCGTTGGCACGTGCTCGTCCTGCGCCAAACTTAACGAGTGCGAGTGAGAAAGAAAATGGAGGAGGAGAGAGAAAACATTCCAACTCGTTTGAACGTTTGGAACGTTTTCGTTGTTCTTCAGCGATCTACACATAATGGGATTAATTCAATAATAATAGATTAATGAATAAGATTTTTCGCAGATTATTGCGAGATTTAGATGAATGGTTTGCCTCCTTCAGTGACCATAAAAAATTGTCTCCAATCGACAATATCTCCCGATGGAATGGAACGATGTGAATGAATCAAGTATCAATTTGAATCTTTAAAAAATTAATCGAGAGTGAAAAAAAATCCGGGAATTCCACTCTGACATTTCTCTATTGTCTGTATTTACCGAGAAAAAAAAAACGTT